ACAAGGTCTCTTGTGCGAAATGAACGTTTGAACTTTATCCTTGAAAGCTATGGGGGCTAGGAGAGGATATTAAGCATGGAAATGGAATAAGTCAAAAGATTTCTCTCGCTGTACTGTGGAGCACAGGTTGGGGGCACACTACAGAAAAAAATAGAGCTGAGCAGCACACCCCAGAAAGGGAAAGACAATGAGTTCACGTGGGAAGGTGGGAAAGAAAGGGGGGCCAGGCTTTAAGGATATTGAGGAAGAACAACTTTACCACAAAGCAGGTCCATAAGGTCTGTGTGAGAATGACTCACCGAGAAAGCACATCTCAGAGCCATTTTCAGTTAGAGTAAGAAGAGAGCTTGGAGCTGGACGATGGTTCAGTGCCAGGATAGTAGCCACACAAACATGAGGACTCATGTTTCAACCCCAGAGCCTATGCAAGTCCAACATGAGAGTACACACCTATAATCCCAGCACTCTTATAACCAGATGGGAGGCAGAGGTATAGAAACATCCAGAAACTCATAGTCCAGGTAGTCTAATGTATATGGCAATAAAACAATGACTCTATCTCAGGACCAACACTTGAGATGGTGCTTTAATCTCTACATACACTGTGGCCTATACATAATCATATGCCATACATACACACAGACACACACATACACACACACATTGTACATATACATGCATATACATATATATCATACATTTACATGCACACACATACCATATACACATGCATACACATCATACACATCCATGCATGCATTCACCATACATATACATGCACGTCTCAGACATCATGGACATTATGCATACACAAGCACATACAAATCATACACACACATCATGCACACACTGATGAAAAAACAATAAAACAAAGAAGATAGCTACAGTGCCCAGAGGAGAAACTGACTATGTAAAGTAGTTTGTTGGTGATGGTTAGCCTGAGAGATCTGGGGAGCAGCATGAGAAGTTCTAGACAAGGAAGCCTGCTTGACAGAGCATGTTAAAAAGACACCGAAAAATTTGGAAATTAGCATTGCTATCAAGACAAGTTATTTGAAGTCTTCGACGGGGCTTGACATAGCTGACCTCTTACATTTCAGAATAGAGAATAGCCAAGTTAGTCTATATTGTTAGACCACAGAATGCTTTTTAAAATCATGACAAATTGCTTGAATATCAAAAGGAGTGAAATATGATATGTTCTTGATTAAGGTCCTCAACTATGGGCTTTGGTATGTTTAGTAGTTTAACTGGAGGAAACGAAGGCAGCAGAAAGAAACCAGGTATTTTCTGTCCTTCCAACCCCTTGACTCCCACTGATCTCCTCTAACCTGAGACCCATTTCCTCCATAGAAACCAGAAGTCCACTCTCTCCAGATCTCACAAAGAAACTAGAATCCACCCCCCACATACACACACCAAGTACTGAGGCCTAGAAAACTCTCTGTTCTCCCTCCCAATTCTCCCTGCAGACTTTGATCCAGAGAGATGCTGCCCCCTACCCTGGAGGAAAGAATGCTACATGAAAACTTTAGACAGCCCATGCTGTCTGTAGCCATTAGGTCAACTCCTTTGGCCTGCTTGTCTTACTACACAACTCAACATTTTTAATGAAGCCCAGTACAAAAACAAACAAAAACAAACGAACAAACAAACAAACAAAATTTCTCTGGGCTTCTGGTTCTTCATTTCTGAAAGCTCCTGTGATACATACAATTTTGGTTAAATAGACTGACTGAGCTCTTCTCTTGTTTTTAACATAGACATGTTTCTTATGATAAGTGAAGGAAGATCTGCTTGTATTTACCATAGAAAACAATGACTTACACATAAATTATTTGCTTAAACAGCATATAATTTAAACCATTTGAGTAAAAAAAGTCATTTTAGTGTCTAATAGGGAACAGATTTGAGGGATAATTTTAGTGGTGGTGGCAGTAGTTACAGTTGGAACAGAAAGAGTATGGAAGTCAGAGTCTTGTCCTGCTCCAAGGTTTTTCTACCAGAGACAGGAGGTTTTCCTTTACCCTTCCAGGCTGGGCATTTACTACTCCTCCCTGATTGCTATCAGGTTTAGTTTCCTTAAAGCAATCTGAAGCTTGAAAAGCAGGTCTAATTTGAGAATTTATGGAATTCTAGGGGAGTTACATAAAAGTTTGCAACAAAATGGAACCTCTATAGACCTGAGTCAAATTTCGGGGGAGGGGTCCCACTTCTTCCCGGGTGTTGTGCAGATAGATGTTAAATATTGTGAAATTACTGTTAAAATCACTGTTATCACTACCAATAAGGTCTTACATCTTTATCGTGATCATGACTATGGATGTTTAAGTTCTCATAACCAAGCAAAGATTTTGGGAGATGGAGCCATTTTAGTTCCTAATTAGCATCTGTTGGAGACTGTCTTGCTATCTTGACTGCCTTGAGCAAAGGACTGTCAGTTAGACATCCCGTCAGGCTTCCATCATGCCAACATCAGTTTTGATCATTCCACAGTCACCACGAGACAGTAACTACATAACTGTAACAGCTGACTGCATCTGCTCCTAAAGGTGCAACTTCAGGTAGGACTAATACAAAAACATTGTGTTATATATATTTTTTTTGTTATCAAAGTCTTAGTCAATTCCAACTGCTAAAGATTAACTGCCTGCCCTGATCACTTAAGGAATCCCACAAATCTGTCATATTTCAGGTCAAAGGTTAGATACCCTCAGCCAAGAACTGCAATACATTCTGGTTAAGAGTTGGAGCCTAGAAGTTGCAATGTCAGCTCCAGCTGAGGACTGAGGAATCTAAGTCTTCCTCTATTACTTCCACCACTCAACACACACACACACACACACACACACACACACACACATACACACACACATGCAGAAATTCCAGAGGTAAAATATCCAGAGCACAATTTTGATGACAGGACAAAGGGGTAAGTTGGTGAGAGATAGGGAAAGGTAGAGGCATGGAGGGCATTGAGCCATAAAGACATCAGTCTCAGAGGAGGACTGCATCTGGAGGGGAGCCAGCATAGGGTCTTCCAAAGTACAAGAGACAGAGAAGCAGCCCACTGGATAGATAGATCTGAGTGTGGAAGCAAGATCATAGTTGCTTCTTATCTTGTACACCCCTCTATATAATCAAAAGCATGATTCTGAATAGTGCATCTACTTAGTCCAGTGATCCTCCATTTCATGTTCGTGTTTTGTTTCAGTGTAAATAAAGATAGTAGCTTTTCTAGATCAATACAGATTGATAGGAAGTAAAAGTCATAACTGTGTCAAATTTTAGGAAAATTTCATGAAGATCCATTGCTGGAGTTGTGTGTAAGTTATTGGAATCTATAAAGAATGTAGCTACAACCAAAATTTTAGAAACAGAAAGAAGCCAATATGTCTGAGGAGACCGTTTATAACCCTAAGAGAAGAGAGGGACAACTGATGTCTAGTGAGGAAAAACTGACATGCACTTTGGGATGTATTCAACAAAAGTTCATATTAGGAAGTCACAAACAGGCCCTCATGCCTCACTGGACAGGAGGACTGGAGCCATTACAAGGTCCCCTTCAATTACTGGAGGTCAGGCCTCTATCCCCGCCTTCGCAAGATTAGAATCGCCACAGCCTTTCTATACTTAGAGAAGGGAGGAGATGTCAGGGGCAGCCCTGCTTACACACTGAAGGCCTAAAATCAGCCATAGGCCTAAAATCAGCAATAGGCCTGTCATACATGTATACTAACACAAAGTCTTGGGTCTCTGTGGAAAAACATTGAAACAGATGGCTATAAGCTATTGTAAACAGGCAGCTTTTGTGGAAATTTACCAGCCTGAGTAGTCATAGACCTTGTAAATAGCCTTGGTGGAGAGTACCAACTTAGATAAGGACAAGTAAATCATAGGCAGAGTCATAGAGACCTGTCCCCTGAATCTTCACCCCGCTGATACCCTGTTCTGAAAGATATCTGTATTCCCCCTGAACACCCACACTTTGGTGTCATCCCCTTCCCCACGTTCTGCCTTTTTGTGTTTATAAACCCTGTATGAATAAGTAGAAATTATGATTTGATTTAAAAAAATAAATTAAAGAAAGGAAGTCACATACCCACTCAGTGGAAGCTACACTTGGGATTTTAGAGTTGATCTTTTCTTGACCTCAACAATATGCTAACCCAGTCCTGTCTCTCTGATGCTGAGCAGTGAACTTCAGCATCTTGTCAGCCTTGTGATCACTCAGAAAACACCTGCAATTCTTCTTCGGCATTCTCCATGTGGCAATATGAAGTTTAGTAATTATGTTTATACAATGTGCAGTCACGGCTTACCAGGCATAATAGGGAGAGAGCCAGTAGTAAACTCAGGAATAACTGTAGCTATAAAGCCTCTAGAGAGGAGGAAGGTACGTGCTGATTATTTGGGATTAAACTTAGTTCACCAGGGCTCACCTGATATCTTTTGATGCTGTCTGATGGACTCGTTTGTTTTTAGTGGATGGTCATTTACAAACTTACCTTTTGTTTTCTTAACTTGGGCCCCAGCATCATAAACTGTAAGGAAAACCACCTAAATGATTAAGATGTTAACTGCTAGAGTCAGCTATTCCAGGGGCAGGGAAAAGAATAGAGAAAAAAGAATAATGTTAACCCCTTCATAATTAGCACATATTTCTGACCACACTAGGAGTGTAGGGGCAGCCAACATTCTGTAGACAAAAGAGCATCCAAGCATTCTCAAAGTGAAGTAGTGTTTCTCCAGCTCTTTATCTAACTCTTCTGTGTTTTTTAAAGCAGAAACCAAACTATCCCAAGCTCTTTCTCTTTAGACTCACTGACTTGCTTAGTCCACAGAGAAGCCTAAAGGCCCAAAGTACAGAAATTTTAGCACTACCAACTGCCCCACAAAGAAGAAAGAAAGAAAGTAACATTGCCAAACAAGCCTTCTATCAGTAAGGTGTGCTGGAGTAAACCCAAGGCCTCACATTCTGCCTTCACCCCACTCCATACCTCAAGCAAACATAGCCAAGGAGCTATAGCTTGCGCTGAATTCTCCTTCTCAATGCCCTTCTGGGTGTGGAGGCAGCCAATACGTTCCCAGGTCAAGAGAACAGCCAAACATTCTTCAAGTGAAGAGTTGCTCTCCAGTTCTTCAACTAATTCTTTCATGCTTTTGAAGAAGTTGAATGGCTAATTAAAAAGAAATCTTTTTTCAGAAGCAAGGATCAAAGAATAAACTTTCCAGTGGTAAATACTTTCAATAAATTGGTCAAGCATTTTTGACACTGGCTTTTAAATAAATATAAATGGCTGTTAAGTCCCCAAGAATTTTTTAAAATGTTTCTCCAAAAAAGCTTTGTTTGCCACATGATGGAAGTCAAGAAGCAAGGTGTGCTTATTACTATTACAATCAACTACATCAGTGGTTCTCAGCCTTCCTGATGCTTCAGCCCTTTAATAAAGTTCCTCATGCTATGGTGACTCCAAGCACAAAATTATTTTTGTTGCTACTTCATAACTGTAACTTTGCTACTGTTTTGAATTGTAATGTAAACATCTGTTTTATGGTGGTCTTAGGCAACCCCCGTGAAAAGTTCATTCAACCCTCAAGCGATTCTAACCCACGGGTTAACAACCACTGAATTATAACCTAAGGACCATCTCCTCTAATAACTACAAATGAAGAAATTTATGAGGGAAATTTAAGGAAATCTACTTGGGGCCATCAATGTTGTGTCCAGTTCTTCAATGATTCATATTTTACACACATTCTGATGCTACCAAAGGTCACCAAAAGCTATGGGTTCTATAACTCTAAAGAAAGATCAATAATCTGGAGATCTTATGATAGCTTTTCCTCTCGTTCTTTTTTCCTGGAATAGATGATGCTAGCAGTCAATGTCTTGACTGATTAGGTAGAGTTTTTCTTACAATTTATGATGCCTGCCCCAGGTTATGAAAACAAATGGTTTGCAAGGGACAATACCTAGGACAAATTAACCCATTAGGCAACTTCAAAGCTGTTGGGTGAATGTTAGCTGCCAATGCAGGAAGGGAATTTGCTCATAAAGGTGAACTAAGTTGAACCTCAAATTTCATTCTGACTTGCCAGAGCCTAATTAAATGTTTTGAAATTCAAATCTGAACAAAGTACAAAATACTCTCCTAATCATAAATATCTTTTTGTTGTAAAAGCAAGGTCAACGCTGCGTGTTTTACTGATAGCCTTTGACTCCATCCAAGCTTGCTTTGATGATGAAACATCTATAATGAAGTTCTGTAACAAACCCAATGAAAATTAGTGTATCTGAATGTGACTTTGCCAGTTCCCTCACTAGTTTAGATTTATAGAAATCATCTAGTGCCTTCCTTTTTTTTTTTACCTCAACTGACTAAAATTTTAGTAGAGGAGGAATCACCAGCTTTCTATATACATTTCTTTATTACTGACTCATCAGAGACATACTACTCTTAGCTAGCTTACAGACTTGCTGCCTTCTGTTTTGTCCTTATAAGTTAGATGATCCTGACATTGTCCTCACTGGCACTACTGTAGCTGGCTCCACTGAAAATTCACGTAGTGTGAAGCAGATTGACACCACCATAAATTAATGAACTAAAAACTGAAAGGAACAGCATCCCCTGTGCTCCATTTTCCAACCTGTAATTCTGCCTGCTTTCCCAGAGACCTGCTCACACTAAGGACAACAGATAGACCTTGCCCCAAGCCCTATGCCAACCAACTCCTCTTAAAGCATGTTCACCAAGTGTAACTGCACCTCATGCCTTGCCTCCATTTTCCAGCTCAAAATTTCACTTTCCAAGAGCCTTGGGACACCAGAGACAACATTAGCATCCAAAACCCTAGAGGCCACGCAGGGCACAAAACCCACACCACACATCTTACTGGTCCTGAAGAGTCACTGGTCACTAGAACCACAAGACACTGAAGTCAAAAGACTAAGAGGAAACAGTAACCAAGGGAAAAACATTCAAAACCTGCCCATTTAACAAAAATAAACTCAGAAATCAGCACTAAACGTATCATAACCACTAAACCAGATGGCTAGAGGCCAGCATGAGAACATAGTCAACAACTGACAGGACAATATGGCACTACAAGATTCCAGTTTATCCTACTACAGCAAGCCCTGGTTATCCTAACACAACTGGGACATGAGAAAATGGCCTTAAATCCAATCTTGTGAAGATGATAGAGACCTTTAAAGAGAAAATACATAAACCCCTTAGAGAAATACAGAAAAATATATTGAACAGTTAAGGAAATGAATACAACAGTTCAAGTCTTGAAAATGGAAATAGAAGTAAATAAACAAAACACAAACTGAGGGAAACCTGGAAATGGAAAACCTAGGTAAAAGAACAAAAGCTTCAGATGCAAGCATCAGTAACAAAGGACAAGAGATGGAAAAGAGAATGTGAGCTGTAGAAAATCAAAAGAAGAAATTGATATGTTGGTAAAAGAAAATGTTAAATATAAGAAGTTTCTGACACAAAATAAAAGGAAATTTGGGACACTATGAAGATATTAAAATTAGAATAATAGGAATAGAAGAGTGGGAAGATTCCCAGCTCAAAGGTTCAGAAATTTTTTTCAACAAAACAATAGAAGAAAGTTTCCCCAACCTAAAGAGATGACTATAAATGTACAGGAAGCTTACAGAACACCAATAGGTTGGACCAGAAAAGAAAATCATCCTGCCACATGATAATCAAAACATTAAATATACAAAACAAAGAAAGAATATTAAAAGCTGCTAGAGGAAAGAGCCAGTAATGTATAAAGGAAGAGCTATCAGAATCAACCCAACTCCTTAACAGAGGCTCTAAAAATCAGAAGTGCTTGTGCGAATGTCTTTTAGTCTCTAAGAGACCATAGATACCACCCCAGATTACTATATACAGCAAAACTTAAATCCTCATAAATGGAGAAAACAAGATACTTCATGACAAAAATGAATTTAGACAACATCTATCTACAAATCCAGCCCTACAAAAGATTCTAGAAGGAAAACTCCAATCCAAGGAGGTTAGCTACACTCCCAAAAATACAGGAAGTAAATACTTTCACACCAGAAAAAGTGAAAGAAGACACACACACACAAGACCAACAACATCAAAATAACAAGAATTAACAATTTTTGGTCCTTTATATCTCTCAACATTAACAGATTCAATTCCCCAATAAAAAGGTACAGACTAACAGAATGAATAAGAAAATGAATCAAACTTTCTGCTTCATACAAGAAACACACTTTAACATCAAAGACAGATATTAACTCAGAGTAAAGGATTACAAAAATATTTTTCAAGTCTAATACCCAAGATACAAGGTAGAGCAGCCTTTCTAATATCAAATAAAATGGACTTTCAGCCAAAATTAGTCAAAAGAGAGGGATAAGTTCACTTCATATCCATCAAAAGAAAAATCCATCAACATGATACCTCAATTCTGAATATCTATGCCCCAAGTGTGAAGGTACCCCCACTAGAAAAAAAGAAAAGAAAGAAAGAAAAACACATTACTAAAGCTTAACTCACACTTTGAACTCCACACATTAGAAGAGGGAGACTTCAATAACCCACTCACACCAATGAGGGCAGGTCATCCAGGCAAAAACTAAACAGAGAAATAATGAAATTAACAAATGTTATGATTCAAATGAACCTAACAGATATCTACAGAACATTTCACTCCAACACAAAAGAATATACCTTCTTCTCAGAACCTCATAGAACCTTCTGCAAAACTGATCATACGCTCAGTCTCAAAGCAACTCTCAACAGATATAAGAAAATTAAAATAACCCCCTGTATCTTATCAGACCATCAGGGATTTAACTGAACTTCAACAACAACAGAAGCAATAGAAAGCCTACAAACTCATGTCAACTAAACAACTCTGTATTCAATGACCACTGGGTCAAAGAAGAAATAAAGACATTAAAGACTTTCTAGAATTCAATGAAAATAAAGGCTCAACATATCCAAGCTTATGAGACATAAAGAAAGCAGTGCTATGAGAAAAGTTCATAGTGCTAAGTAAAGAAATTAGAAAACAAATTAGTAAGATCTTGTACTAGCAACTTAACAGCACATCTCAAAGCTCTAGAACAAAAAGAAGCAAACCACACCCAAGTAGTATAGACAGCAGTAAATAATCAAACTCAGGGCTGAAATCAATAAAATAGAAACAAAGAGAACAATACAAAGAACCAATGAGACAAAGACATCACTCTTTAAGAAAAATCAACAAAATAGTAAAACCCTAGCCAAACTAACTAAAGGGCAGAGAAATAACATCCAAACCATCAAAATCAGAAATGAAAAGGGAAACATAACAACAGACCCCAAGGAAATCCAAAGAATCTTTAGGTCTTACTTCAAAAACCTGTACTCTACAAAATTGGAAAATCTAAATGAAATGGATGATTTTCTTAATAGATAACCACTTACCAAAGGTAAGTCAAGATCAGGAAATATACTAAATAGACCTATAGCCCTTAAAGAAATAGAAGCACTTATTAAAAGTCTCCCAACCAAAAGAAGCACAGGGTCTGATGGTTTTGGTCCAAAATTCTACCAGACTTTCAAAGAAGAGCTAATACAAAATGGCAGCCTGGAAAATCGGGAAAATATTCTTCACCAACTCTACATCAATAGAGGGCTGATATCCAAAATATATAAAGAACTCAAGAAAATAGACACCAACCAACAACAATAACAACAAAAATTAAAACTGGGGTACATATTTAACCAGAATTCTTGACAAAAAATATCTCTGATGGCTGAGAAGCACTTAAAGAAATATTCAATATTCTTAGTCAACAGGAAAATGCAACTCAAAATGACTCTGAGATTCTATCTTACACCTGTTAGAATGACTAAGATCAAAAACTCAAGTAACACCTCATGCTAGCAAGAATGTGGAACATTGCTGGTGGAAATATGAACTTGTACAACCACTTTTGATACCAATATGGTAGTTTCTCAAAAAATTGGATAAGATCTACCTCAAAACTCAGGTATACCTCTACTGGACATATACTGAAACTATCATACTACAAGAACATTTGCTCAACTATGTTCATAGCAGCTTTATTCATAATAGCCGGAAAGTAGAAACAACATAGATGTCCCTCAACTGAAAAATAGATACAGAAAATGTG